CCCATGTTTTTAAACTTTTGTTCACTTTACTTGTTGAAAATTAAAACATTTACAAATAGACACGACTCTGGAGGTGTGCCTCTCTGGAGGTGTGCCTAGATTGGCAGAAGTCATAAAATACAGATAATGCATATTTGTAAACATTGTATAGGAACATTGTTTAGCAAACAAAACAAATCGTGCATATTGCAGAGTAACAATGCAAATAAACACGTATTAATAATTGATATTTTAATATTGAATTTCAGTGTGCAATATATGCATAATAAAACGAACATGAATTTTTGGCAGTTGATCGGAACTGAAATACACATAGATATTTTTCCGGCATTTGATGACTTATCCTGAGACGAGAAAAGTATGTAATTCTTTATCTGCATCATAAAGCAACCAATCAGAATCTATGTGTGATAAGTAATTATTTCAGCATGGCGTGTATATCGGCTAAAACTGATAGCTTCGTACCGTGATGCGAAGCAAAAAGACTACAATTAATGACAATATCATGGGACAAGGGGGGATTTCTAAATTTTATTTTTTATATCATCAATATTGATTATCTCTTATTCATATTAAATAAAAATTTGTAGACATCAAGTATTATACAAACTTTGTCAAATACCAATTATAAGGTGCATGATATTGCAAGAAGTGCGAAGTGCGATATAATTTCGTTGTACAGTCCACTCTATCGGTTTGCAATAATAATAACAGTTTGTTTTTGTCACCATAGACTGTTTCACTATGTCGATAAACCTGGAGATCATAAGCGGCATTTTCATAAAATAACATATATTAACACTGATATTGATTTGTATCAACTTATCTTAAAATATATAAAATATCTTCATGTGCTTTTAACTAATACTATTAACATCACGTTTTAGCCAAGAAAATGTGCATATTCATTTATAGCACTGCCAACGATCCACAGAGAAATACGATTGACCCGACTAGTGTTTTTTGTTATTGAAAATATCGACACTTTTGAAGGGTAGACAACTCTGGTAAAGTATCATTCTGCCTGCCGGAAATACCTACTGAAAAATATTCTAGAAAAAAGTAACATGCAAACTTGATATGTAATCAATAGTGTTTGCTTCTTTATATTACAGTAAAGTTTATCACAGAAAAAAAATCATTCAAGGGTTTAATTCATAATTAAATACTCGCTCATTTAATTATATTTGTGACTGATTCATCATTTCAAATGTACTTAAATTGTACCGTCTGAGGTGATGATGAACACATTAAAAATGATGGACGTGATTTCCACATAGATCTTAATGAGTGTAAATGATTGTCAAACGCCTACAAATATTTATTAAAGGAAAAAGAAACGAAGTGAATCAGTTCAATGAAACATAAAGATATTTAAAGATATTTAAAAAGCTGGATGAATATCAAATTCACAAGTTCTCGAGGGTGTAGATGGGGGTCTTTCATTTCTATATTCTTTAATGTTAAAGGTAATTTTTCTATATTATATATTGTTTTCTCATCATTCTCTATTCTTTATAAGTTAGCTCCCCATTAACATCTATTCTTTTTTGAAGGTTTATTTTTTCTCTATTCTTTATTTTTTCATCCAATTTTACGTAGATTTGGCTCATTATCCGCTGTTCTTTAAATTCCATACAGACCCTATTCATACAACTACATACATGTAGATCTTCAGTTATATATCTATACTTCTAAAGGAAGAGACCGATTTCATTAAGCCGCAGCTCCTCTGAAACCATACAAAGTTAGATGATGAATGATTCTCTTATTGGCAACCTTTCCACATCTCTTTATTTTTGTATAAGTAAAGTTATTTGTGCATTGAACATAAGAATTACATTATGGTCCTTTCAGTTTCAATTTCAAAGGTGTAAATGCTATGATTTTTAAGAAGTTAAATCATATTGTGCTGAAACGATAGATCAAATGCAAGCTAATATCAGGAACACCTTAATAATGATGGTTATATCAGATATGGTGCAGACATGAGAAATATCTTGGAGAAAAATTCGGGTATGCTAGGATTGGAGATTGCACATACGGAAAATCCATAATGGTAGCAGGTCACATATTATATTGCAGTAAAAAATATAAATTTAGTATATATGAAAAAACTGAAAGTCTGAATGTTTAGATGATCCGTCTTTGTTGTCCGAACAAATGTATTATGATTTGTATTGCTGCAAACAATGGTGCCAAAATTATTTTGCACACAGACAACAATAAAAAAAAGACATAAGAAAATACGCTGCAAAATTGGAGGAAGTTAATTGACGGTTTTCAATAAAAAGCTTGACACTAAATATCAGTAAGCTTTGATTTGTAGTTGCTGACCAACATGTGGCGAATTTCTTATAAACGTATCAATATGATTGATTGATCGGTTGTTGTTTGTTTAACTTTTTATGCATGCCCAGGAAGAGAACAAATTCACAATAAAACAATAAGAAGGTCCAGAAATAGGGTTCGACTGGGGTAAAGGCAGGGAAGAATTCCGAATGCCACTAAAAGGAAAGTATATGTGGAAAGGGACCGAAATTAAGGTTTGCAACAGGCCAACCACGGACCCTTAAAAGGTCAATTAATTTGCAAAGACCATGGCACTCTATCTACACGAGACTTTGGATTTAACGATCCTACTCTGATCTGACGGGAGAATATCAAGGAATGACCATATAATTAAACCCCATGCAACACTTTAGGGTGTATCAGTACGGAAAACATACATGTATACTGTAAACATGAAGTAAATAAGTTCCAGGTCTGAACATATAAAATTGTCACATAGCATCGGTTATACTAATATCAAGCTTGGTATCAAATATAGATAAAATGCTCCGCAGAGCGTAGCTTCATACAACCGCAGAGTTTGAAGCCTGAACAATTGGGGCATGTATAGACACCACATTCAAGTTTGATACCGCTCTGGATTTGGATTGTGATTAAACACTTGACACAGCATAGGTTTCCGACACAGAATGAATTTCGTCTAAGTACAAAGAAGTTAGTTTAAAATTGAGCATTTCCCTATTATGATAAAATCAAGCAAAGTATAATTTTGGAACTTTTGGAATTTAATGTGGACCAATTTGAAAACCGGGCTCAAAATCAAAATACGCGGTTAGATTCAGCATATCAAAAATGCCACGAATATATTTTTTGATGAAATCATAAAAAAGATTAAATCTGCACCCTTTGTACCTCAATGTGGACCAACCTAGAAATAAGACTAATAATCCAAAATTTAAATGCACAGCTAGACTTATGATATTGAAAAACCCCAATATTAAAGGACTTTTAATTAAACCCCATTGAAATTGGTAAAAAAATAAGTAATGTGTACACTGTATTATAAAAGTAAGTTTTTTTTTTTTTAAATAAACGGTTAGAGCCATAATCCAAAAACAATCTATCTCAAACTCTCGTATTTATATGGAACCTTGTGTTACAATTTCATAGAAATCCGTATATTTATACTCAAGATATTATCTGGAAGCAAAATGTCTTCGGACAACGACTACGACAACGTCATACCACTATACAGCGCAAAATTTTGCAGTCGTATAAAATATATGGTTACTAAACAAATACGGCAGAAATGTGACGGACGAACGTCTGGAAATGGATTAACACTATCAGATGGGCACACATTGACTGGTTGATAGACAGACGATGAACAGGTGGACAGAGGTTTAACAATCACCCCCTTTGAAGCCAGGATGTTATTATTCTATTTAAGAGAGTGGTGCAAATCTATGACTTTTGCTTAAAGAAACTGTGATAAACAATTTACATTCGGACATTATAATAAAAACACGTACATGTATAGAAAAATGAATATGCTTTTAATAAAAGAAAATAAAGTATGAACAGATATCACAGATAGTTCAATAGCACAACTCATGGTTTATTTGAAGTAACATGTAGTATTAAATAAAGGAAAAATAACAAACAACCATATCACATATGTACTAACGAAATAAATAACAAATCTATCAACTAAGAAAAATATATCAACTGTGTACTAGTGCACTAACGATTTTAAGAAATATATTAACTTTTTATTAATGTACTAACGATATTAATAAATATATCAGCTATGTGCATTTGTGCATTAAAGAATATAAAAAATCTTGAACTATGTTCTATGTACTTACGACAAATCTATAAACTACATGTATATAACTCATGTAATGATAATAACAATTCTATAAACGATAATAAGGGAGCAACCATTTAACTCCATATTAAAATCAATATACTAGTATGTGAAGGATGACCAGAGGTAACCAACGCCATTATCTGTGTAGGGTGACCATAGGTAACCAAAGCCAATGTCTGTGTAAGATGACCAGAGGTAACCAAAGTCAATGTCTTTATAAGGTTACTTCAAGACGTATCAAAAGTCTACAGCTTTATAAGGTGACCAGATTTTAGAACAACAACCAAACATAATTGTTTGATTGTTGTTTGATCAATTTCCAGTAGCAATGTTTCATGCACATTCATTAAACTAATAAATATTAATACAATACGTCTGTTCTGCAAAAACGCCCACATGAAAATGAAACTAAATTGGACATAGGTAGTAATCCATTTGCAACGTTTTTATGCATATTCAGGACAAAAATGATTTATCAATTAATTCAATAGGATAACTGTAAGATGTTCATGGTAGGTCGATCTGATGAAGCGCTGAACATTTTGACCTAACCAAAAATGAGGTATTAAGGAAAGGGGAAGAAGTTTGACCTTACATAAGGCAACTTACCGAGGCCGTAAGAGTTATTGCAACAGTTCTCTAATATACAGAGTACTTGGCCTTCTCCATTCATGAAGTATCGAATTAAACGTACCAATTCTGACTGGACGTGACTGCGAAATTAAACATTCCGAACAGCCAAATATCAATGGTTTAACATGTTCCACCGGACGGCAGAAATCCATGATTGTTCATAATTATCTTAGTCAATCGTTATCGTTAAAATAATTGAAAATTGAATAATATTTTTTTAATGTTTCATTAACAATGGAGTAATGATATTTGGTGAACACAGTTGCAAATATATGCAACTACAATAACAGCAATAAAAAAACAGTAACATTAACAAATATTTGCAATTGGATATTAGAATATAAACAATAAAAAATACTGAAAGAAATTACTATTATTATAAAACAATGGTCAACAAAAAAATCATTAAAAAAATCAGCACGTGCAGTTTTCTCGTGCAGTTTTGTCAGGTGACCATGTATAAAGTGAATCACAAGTTATGAATAAACAAAAATTAGTATAGTGTTTCTTACCTGAGATTTAACCAACAAACGTAACAACAGTTTGACACAACTACATTTTCATATATCATAAATATGCCCTAGCAATGTACATAAAAAGTCAACCTTAAAATTAACAATAATAAATTTTAAAAACCTAATTATGGTAATCAAGATAACAGGGTACGCATTCAACAAAAAATGAATAAATTAAAATAAAATTCTGAAAGACTTTGACTAAATTTGGAACATTAAAGAGTAACACTGATAATATAGCGTCATAGCCGATGAGGAAACAGTTTTATTACTAATCAGTTTGAAATCATGTTACTTCCGGAATGATTGAAATTTATTTTACATGTATTTATCTCATCCTCACTTTAAAGATGTAAATGTTATATGTATCATAAACGTATGACTACTTTCACAGTGTAAATGCGTTAGTCATTTGATAATTACATATATAAAAGAGGGACGAAAGATACCAGAGGGACAGTCAAACTCATAGATCGAAAACAAACTAAATCTATATCTAACTTCCCAAATTGATGAAATTTGATCGCTAACAAATGTTTTCCTCTAAAATTGACTAATATGATAGATATACACTGATATATCTTTTAGGTTATTTTTTTATGTTTAAGCATTTAAGTGCCTTTTTCTTATCAAAGCATTTAAAGCTTTTGAAAATTATTCCTCATTAAATACGCCACCAATATATATCAAGGTGCTCCATTTGTGGCATGATGGTTGGATGGATGTCTGTTTAACGTCCAGTGGCTTATTAAATGAGTATTCAGTAAGATTTCTGACATGAAATTAAATCTCTTGATTCGTCAAGTTAACATATATAAATACATTTGATGCTCATGCAGCCATTCATCTATTCACAATACAAAAAACATACAATGTTCGAATAATATCAATTGATATGTGTTCCTTTCTGGTAATGGTTATACAATATCATATGGTCAGTTTCTGTGACGTGTAAATAAAAGTATAACATCTAATAACAGAGGTGTTATATGTGAAAAATGATAACAAAATAAATTCATTGATTTAAAAAAAACTTAGTCTGTAAACTTTGTTAACTTTATTCGAAAAACTCGCAGTCGTCTTAAATTCGCAACAGGGGTACATAGATATATGATATAGATACAGAAGAACAACATTACAATAAATACATGTATACAATTCATTTACAATAATACAATAGACAAACACAAAAGATAAATAACAACAGTAGTCCATTACTAGATCTTAGTAATGGACTTTTGATAACAAGAAGAGTAAATCATTTTACTTTTGATTTTGGCACATGAATTTTATATATGGATCCATAAGAATATAACTTATGCGAGGTGAGTTTTTACAGCTCCTTTGACATACCGGATATTTTCTCATTGCAGGACCGCAGTCAATACAGCAAACAATATGTCCACAGGTCAGTAGGTCATCTTAATCATTTGATTGGTGGATCCAGAGAAATATAACTTATGCAAGATAAGTTTTTACAGTTCCTTTTACGTACGTCCTACATACGGGACATTTTCTCATGGCAGGAGCACAGTCAATACAACACACAATATGTCCGCAGGGCAGAAAGGCAATGGATGCCTCTAGATCTAAACACACTTTACAGAGTCGCTGGTCCCTCAATTGTCTGTTTTCTTCTAAAAGATTTTCTGTATCTGCAATATGAAAATACATTTAATATTTACCTTAGAGCAAAAGATTATTGTAGCGTTATATTCCGATAATTCTTATAAATAATATGTGTTAATAAATATATGTGATAAAAAAATAAGGGTTTTTTATATCCTGTGGTGTTTGTCGTTGATGAAATATGTTTCTATTTTTTTCTGCAGTTCGCATGTTGTGTCGACTATTATATTATTTGTGTGTGCGTTTCTCTGTGATGAATGTTCTTGATTGTGTTTGAGCTGTATTTCTGTCACGTAGTGTTGTCATTTCAGCGATATTTTTTAACATTGTCATAGTTTTAGTTTGTAACCCAGATATGTTTTCTCTTAATCGATTTATGACTTTTGAACACCGGTATACTACTGTTGCCTTTATTTACAACTACAGCATAAAAAGCTGATTTAAAAGCTGAATGCTGAAATGTTTAAGATCATTTGGAATGTATCATTCCATACTAATACATAGAGTATATTGGACTTATTATTTCATAGTTTCGAGCTTACGTGTTGAAAGGTATATTTACTTAAATATTCGCCATGCTCACTGAAATATCTGTCATAGTTTATACATCCTTGCTTAAGCGATTTAATTGTTTGCAAAATTTAAGAAAATAGATAGAAATAGCATACCGTCAAACAGTAAATTGTGTTCATTTACTGGGTTATTTATGCCACTGCACTCAGTTCTATCTGATTTATGGTTACCTGCACTGTTTGTGTTATTGGCATGTGGAGTAACGTCTGCTGTGGCTCCTTGTTGTTGAAGATGAGGAACACCATCTAGTAAAATGTGCATTACGTCTGTTGCTGATATGCTGTACATATCTGAAATGATTATGAAATATAACATGATAGTGCATACTTTGTGTTTGCAATTTGATATTTTTAATCCTAGAATCAATGCAAGATAATCTGCACTAATCCTATGTTTTCGTTTGGTTTGATACCAAAGGTTGATTTATATAACTGACCTGCAGCAATTTCTGTCAGTGGCATATCGGATTATGGTCTTTCTAAAAGGACGTTTTAATGTCATTTGTTATATATATTTGGTTTTTATTTAAGTCAAAGAAGAATTAAATATAATTAAACAGAAAACACAAATTGTCTTAAATAATTACTTTTATCTGCTAATATATCATTTGTATCATGTTTACACGTGTAATAGAATGACAAAACTTCATACCTTTTCCGGAAATTGTTAGATGCTGAAAAGCATTTAAAACCTGTTGATCGGTATATCCCATTTCAATGACACTTCTAGCAGCAACAGTTTGTAATATGTCACTCTGTGCTGTACTAGTAGTACTGTTATTAACAGCCGAGTTAGAAGTTTCAGCTCTCGGTGCTGTCTCTTGTGTATTTTCATTTGTTGCATTGGTTTCTCGGTCCTAAAACAGAAAAAGGTCCATTTTTTAAAATGCCAATGAATGAAAAGTGAGATCTCAAAGATGAAGATAAATCTTGTATGCAAAAGTTAAAAGAACAAAAATACCGAACTCCGAGGAAAATTCTAAACGAAAAGTTCCTAAGCAAATGACAAAATCAAAAGCTTAAACACATCAAACGAATGGATAACAACTATTCCGGACTTGGTACAGGCATTTTCTTATGTAGAAAATGGTGGATTAAACTTGTATAATGATCGTTTGTGTTCTTTTCAAATCAATCGAACTGTTACATCGTGCTACTCCGAAGAACAGCAATCAACCATGTTATCGGTCCAACAAAAACACCATAGGTTCATATACATCTATCTACCACATATCGGTTCGCATTTTTCACTCAATAAGAATTTATTGATTACAAAAAAATAATTCAGGTTCGGGTTTTTGGTTGTTTAAGGTCTTTTGGGAGTTGGATAGACTGGTTCCCTGTCCTTTATCTGTTTGGCTCTGACATATATTGACAAAAAAGGTACCTTTGATACCCGTATGTTGCAAGGGAGAGGAATAGCCCAAGGAGTTGTTTGGGTTGGAGGGATGTTATTTTCTTCTGAATACTGTATTATTTGTTTTGCATGTAAACGGATAAGAAAGTTCGTTTTTCAATGAAATCATCTTTTATGTTGGTCAAGTTTCGGTATCATTGTTATCGTATAATATTTATCATTGATATCATTATTATCGTTTTTCATATTTTTTGCTTTAATAGGACATGTAGTGTATATAACATGCATTATATGATAATTAAGTAGCATTTATTCTACTTCATTTGGCGATGGGCATTCTGGTTAATTGAATTTTGTTAAACATTGTACTAACTATTTTTGCTTGTCTTTTCTGAACGGCGTTGATGAATTTTTCTCCTTTGTTTTGTTTCAGAAAAGTACATTTTGGAAACCATCTGGCATGTTCAACCCATGGATCGTCACCTGCTTCCCAGTTTCGCAGTCCGCCACCACAGAAAAAGCATCTTGTATAATCATGGTAACCGGCAAACAGAAAACCAGCCATAGCCATCTGACGTGGTGATTGGTCTAAATATGATGGCCAGCCTTCAAAAGAACTTATCCTAACAGTCAAGCAGGCATAGTTTGGATACTTAGGTTTTTCAAGGTGTATTCCAAGTGATTCGAATTCGGTGTTATGCTGGCATGAACTGGTACCAGTAGCATTATGGTTTTCATTGGACGTCTGTGTTTCTTGACTATTCTCGTTCCCTGTTGCAGAGCTAGTTCTGTCTCTGCTAGTTGATGAATATAGTTGATTTGCCTGTCGTTCCTGCAAATTGTTGCTGGCACCATTTGTAGATAAACTTATTTGTAAACTTGGTTCAGTTGCCGCTGCAATTTCTGACTGATTCCTTTCTAGACTTGTGACATATCTTGTATCAACAGTAGAATCGGTATTATTCGAAACAACAGTTGTCCGTTCTTCTTGATTTGCAGACGATGAGAGTCTTGGTTCGGCTACGAGTGCACATGATGGTGACAGCATGCGGTGTATAACGACAGGATCGTCACCAGTTTTCCATTTGTCATATGTAACTCCACAAGAAAAGCACTTTGTTTTCCTTCCGTCAATGTAGTAAAAACCTGTTTTAGCCATTTTAATTAGATTTATACTAATTTCTCGTGGGAAAGTGCTATACGATGACACTCTTAGAAGTTCATTTGACATTGACTCGCCGTGGGATACTGTCGTGCCACTTGAAAAGCTCTCAAAATAACTTCTTAAACTGAGTGGACGAAATTGTGATTTAGACTGTGGGAATATACGCAGTCGCAATAAATCACCAAGTACGTTGTAGCTTTCTTTAGTTTTTTGTAAGCTTATTTCAGTTTGAACTTTACTGGCAGTATCGATATTCCTCAAAGCAGTACCATAGCGTATTGCCGTAAACTCCTGGTGATTTATAATGTGGTCCATATCCGAAGACATTGTTTTGTCGACCATTGTTTCTAGTCTTTCTATTGCCAGTCTTAATTGTTTTGAGTTGTCTTTTATTTCAACAAATATTTTGAGTCTATCTATCACTTCTGGTAGTTGTGCTGGGCCCGAGAGTCCAGCTGCTAATATCAGTTGTTCAATTTCTTCCTTGATTTCTTTTAGGTTGTTGCAAACATTTTCATACCGTTTATTCGCGTTGGTGACTTTTTGCGTTTCGTCAGTCTCATGTAAGCACGTGCTTTCTGGTGTTGGGTCAGTTTGTACAGAACGAGAAACCATGAGAGGCCCTTGTCCAGTATCACTTAAAGATCTTTGGAGTAATCTTGGTTGGCACATTGTTGAATCAATATCTCTGCTTTGGTTTTTTATTTGTGTAACAGTATCTGACGTATCTGTACAACACATAATGGCAGGAAATTCTTAAAAAGAAACAAATGAAAATTTAAGTAGAGAAATATAGTATTATATCAAATAAAGAGATCTATGGTTCCTGTATAGAACTCATATGAAAGAATAATTAACCACAACTAATCAGATTCTCTTTGTTTTGTTTTGTATTGTGTGTGGTTTTTTTTTTTTAGGGTTTTTTTTTTGTAATTTTTTTTTCGGGGGGGGGGGGGGAGGCGTTTTTGTTTTTGTTGTAGTTAATTGACTTTTTCTTTTAATGTTTTTTTCGGGGGATGAGGGGGTTGCAGTTTAAGTATATATGCCTTTTATTGGATTTATAATACAGTCTAGGTGCATGGCCGAGTGGTCTAGAGCGATTAACACAGTGCAGGCGCTGTTGTCTCGATATCCCAATAGCATGAGTTCATATCCCGGTGAGGGAAGAACAAAAATTTGCGGAAGATTTCACATCGTTGTGTTGATATTTAGAGTAGTTATATATATATATATATGATTAGGCAGCCAGATGACCATTTTTTAGTCTAATTTAATTTGATGTGGAGAAATATCAGTGTGAGTTTAATATGCAGCGAGTTTAATGTGCAGCGCAATAGTATTGATGTGGAAGTAAATAGTGTAAAATCATATATATAGTTGAAGGTCTAAACGAGGAAAAGGGTCTTAAATAATTTTTGTAAGGTTTTATTTTCTAGGCCATTTTCTCTTTTAAAAAAAATGCCATTATTCTCTAATATATTTTTTTTCTTATTTTCGTTTGCTTATTCTTCTACATTCATTTTTCCCAAATCTATTTTCTATTATATAAACCTTTCCACACTTCCATATTTGGTATTTGTTTCTAATAGATAATTAACGTTTATTCTATGTTGAAATATTTAATGTTATAACACGTCATGAAAGACATTTTTAATAAACAAAAATTACACAACTATAAAAAACGAAAATACTAAAAATAAGGCTTATGTCTGAAGATAATGAAATAACCATACAAGAAATTTTTGATAAAAAAAAAGTTGCACAACTGTAACTTGTATAAATAGATGAAAGACTTGGAACTTTGCCAAGTTTATTCAATTATTTTAGAAGCGGAAGAACTAACTACAAATTATTGCTTTCGATGGTTCTTGAATAATGAAATAATTTTTTTTGTTTTGATTTTTACATGTTTTGCCAAAATAACTTTAAAGACTTGAAGTATTCATGTATTTATGTCTATTTATTGATGTCATGCTGTGTCTGTATACCATTGTAATTGCAAAGGTTTGACAGAATAAAGATATATATATAAAAAAAAAAGTGTTGGTACTAAATACACGAACAGAGATCATTTCAATCAAGATCTGTTAAGTTATTGGGATTTTTTCTGATCGAAGACGAGTTTCTGTAAATTACATAAGAAAAATATCAATTCAATATTGTTTTAATAGGAATTTAAAGATACATTATTTAAATTCAAGTTCAGTAATAGTTGTAAAATTTAACTGCAAATTTGTTATTGTTTCCTAACTAAACGAGAAGGGGTTAAATTACGCGTACAATTAATTATAGTTATAATTGATAAGAAATTATGCGTAATACTATAATTGTGATTTGCAAATGATATAATTTTATTTCGTAATTGTGCTCGTTCAAAAAAGTAATGTCCATTGTTGTAACCATATCAAAATCAATTTCCCACCTTTTTCATTAACTTTAAGCGCAAAACCTCAGATATAATCAAACTAATTCGAAATCCACACAATAATACACGCGCGTTATACGTCAAAGTGTAACTGAACTTTCATATCAACAGTGTCACTAAGAATGATTTTTAATTGTTTCATTCAGTATCGAGAAAAAATGACATGATTTTTAATGTAAATCAGTAATATGTAAAAAAACACTATTGATAATTTATTCTAACTATCTGATTTAGTACATTTGTATTTTAAAAACGCTTACCTTAGCTGTTACAGGGTATCCCTTATAATGAGTAATACTGTTTACATGTTTATATCTATATGTTTATTTTTAGAATCCTCTAGAATAGTGATGATTCATCCAAAACGCCTCGTGATCTATCGATTATATTTAAATGCCTAACTTATGATGTATAAACAGGCGGATTTGGTGGGGATGCGGGGGACTAGACCCCCTTATGAACTCCATATAAATCGATGCAGACTATTTATATGTTCCACTTCAAACGTTGCCTAGTTTTAGGGCCCGCCCTAACCCCGCCCCCCTTACACACACATCCCTGTTTGAAATCCTGAATCTGCAACTGAATTGACCCAATCACAACTAGATCGAGGACTTTATTTAATTATTATATCGGAATTTTCTATTTTGTAATTACATATTATATATATATCTATCTGTCTATCTGAAGATTTACTTATACATGGTTCATTTCTGCCATTGAAATTATATTTTATTATTACCAATATATAAAAAAAAAGATAAGTATAAGTTTTTGTTTAGTTTTTTAAAATGCTGACATGTGTATTTTTTTAAACGCTGACATAACAAAAAAAAAATGAAACTAAAAGTGCTATGAACCAAAAGTCAAATTTCGCAAATGAGTAAATGATAAAAGTCACGAAATAATAACTCTTTAAGACAAAGACATATTGTTTGAAATAAATATAGTCGCACAAACGTATATTCATTTTGCTATCTTTTTAAAACAAAATGTGTATTTCATGCAGTTTTTGTCAAAAGCTCAAGAAAACTACCCCCCCCCCCCCCCGTCATTTATCTTTCCGTTTACACAGTTTTCGGGATCAAAATTAAAATGTCTTTTTAAACCATAAAATTGAGAATGGAAATGGGGAATATGTCAAAGAGACAACAACCAGATCAAAGAGCAGATAGCAGCCGAAGGCCACCAATGGGTATAAATAAGTTTGCAATCACGCATTTAACTTACACCAATTAAAAAAAAATAAGAAGTTATCAAATATTTGAAAGTTGCACGGGAGAGCATTCTGATAAAGAAAATATTCCAGTATTTAATGTTGGTACATGTAGCACGTTTACCCATTATATGCACACACTGTTGTTTATAATGATAAATACTTAAATACAAAAAAGTAATGCAGCTTTGAATACACTTAATATCATTTGATATTTGCTTAACATACAATAAGAAATATTCCAAAAGGTCGTATATGAATTTTTTTCCCTAAAACTTTTTTTTTATCACACAAACCGGCTTAACTGGCGATATTCCAAAATTTCGTACATTTAAACCAATAAACCCATTTGAAATAAGACATGTAACTAATTTGCCGATCTTAATTGTTTGTAAAGTTTGCTTCCTAAATGTTGTATGTAAACTTAAAAAAATGTTGTAAAATGGCTTTGGAAATCAGAACGTTTAATTATTGTACATTTCTTTATTTCTGTGAGAATAAGGTTAGTTTTTGTGTTATACAAATGGCAAAGATTTTATTTCACAGCCATTTCAGTTTACATACGACATTTTGTCAGCAAACATTACAACCAAATTTTCAAAGCCTGTTTGTGAGATTTTTCTGCTAACTAATTAATTATAGTTCATTGCTTATGGTTATTAGCTGTGAATGTTGTCAGTAGAAAATCTAAAAGGAATCAGAAATGGCAAGTAAGAACTTTTTTATATTACGGCTTGCGCATGACAGCGAAGGAATGCTAATTTATATTGCCTTTAAACATATATATAATAGCTACATTTGAAGAGTCAGCATATATATATATATATATATATGGATTGTTTATAAAGCTAAGTTTCTGTCCCTGTCTTACTTACTACCAAAATTTAGTTCGGGATTACGATTTTTAGCAATTAATTTTCAAAAATGTGTTCCATAACTTATTTCCATATATGACATTAGTTTAGACTAAATGTTAACATACCTATGACACTAAATAACAGTCTATTGATATATGTGTCGATTCGACAATCTAAGTATGTTGATCTCGATATTTATAGATACATACATTTTTAAATTTCCTAAAGGATTTCTTTTTATAAATAGATTTTCATGATCCTAGCCTACATGTTTGTGTATTTACGATAAATAGGTGTGCACATTGTTCATTATAAATGCTGACCTTATAAAATATGATCGGAAACCAAAAGGGAAAAGTCCAACTATTAATTATTTATATAAGTAAAATTATGTGTGGCGTACTAATCATAAATTGTCGGAAAATTGATATTAATTCTTTGAACAAATTCAAACGTTTCTAGTATATTTTCATTACAAGTACTTTTCTATTAAATCAATTGCCTTTTCCGTTGGAGTCCACAATCAGAAACCGCGTCGCCCACTGGCCTCGGCAAACCTACCCTTTCATTTGTATAAATATTATTATAAAGAATTTTCACTTTTGTTTGTAATTAATATTTGAGAATTTAACATCCATTTTTTTGGGGGTGTCAGCGTTCATTGTGTGTACATTTTAAGAATTACACGCGGAAATGCGCTTCAGATCCGTTGTGGTTCAAACAACTCTTACATACGTCCAGAAAAACAAAAATATTTAATTCTGAATAAATACATCAACAAACATGTCTTTCTTCTCCGTTTGCTATGAGTTCTCTTTTTCTTTATTAGGGTTGTTTCTTAATCACTTGATTATTACGAGTGAAGATGTTTGGATTGTCGGCATTAATCATCATTACTCATGTATCAAAGATATGAAAAATAAACTTATAGAGTATGTAATAGGTGATTGCACATTTGACTTGTTTGTCAGTTGAGATTTACCTGATTAATGGGAGATAATCCACTGTGAATAATGTTCCATCGTCTTTACATGTACGTAAGAAAAGTGTGACTAATGTTAAAAAAATTGGACATCTCTATTAATAAGCATGAGAAAATAAATACATGTATCTTTAATTATTTACCAGCGTATTGATTCGTGATAATTTGTATAACTGTCAAGATTATTATTTCAGTTTAACTACCATTTGTCAAGATAAGATTCATTTGACATCTTACTGATAAAGGAAATTAGCTAACTGAAAAATTTTAATATTTTTTCAAAGTCAAAGTCAAAGTCAAAGATTTTATTGATATAAAATCCAAAATCTGGATTGTCATCAACACAAAGACAAAGAACAAACATTAATCATTACAATCAATTATATAACAATACAGAACATAAAAAAAAAGGTATATATATATATATATATATGTATAATGAGAATTTTTATTCTTCCCTTCTATCTATTTGACTGAGGAGGTACAGTTTTATATACTAGTATTACAATTTATATAATATAAACATAAAATAACTTAAGTTAGTGAACGTCTGAACTATTACATCTCATTAATACCTTTAATGCAACATTTACTTACATCATAATCATTACTTCGAAATATAAAAAAGAATTTTTCAATGTCTGAAAGATTATTGAAAGATGGTAAAATATCTGAAATATTCTGAAAAAATTTATACCTCAAATCATTGAGTTTGGTACATTTTATGGTAAAGTGTAATTCATCTTCAATTTCAAATTTACAAAGGGGGCATAATCTGTTTTCTAAATCAATCTTTTACTGTCTGCCTTTTTCAATCATAAGGATACTATTACTTATCCTTATTCTTAAAAGTTTGAAATATCAGCTCTGTCTATATCTAATTTTAAAAAGTTCTCCATATTAAATTTCTTCTTCAAATCCTTGTAGGTTCTTAATTTGTTTTCTCTTTTATCATTAACACTTTTTGAAATGGAATTCTCCCAAAATTTTATGAAATCATTTTTCAGTTTTTTATTTATAGCTAAAGTTAAACGATTTTTACTAAGTGAATTTTGATTTTCCCAGACATGTTTAAATCCAACTTTTTCAATTAACAATTTAATTTTCGTTCTATACAAATCAAGTTATTATTAACACTTGATGAATAAATCATATTTATTAAATTATCTGGATTTGAATTGACTACATGATGCAAGTAACCTACACACAGTTTGATAGCATCAACAGAACATGGGATCATACCCAATTCCCCCAAAACTGCCAAATTTGATGCAGTTTTGTTAACTTCTAAGATGTATTTAGCAAATTTAATTTGTACTTTGTACTTTAATTTGTAATTTGTAATTTGTTCTTGATTTTACTATTTCTTTTTTTTTTTTTGATGTTCCCTTTAAGCCGTGCTTATTATATGTCTATATATACATATATGATGGTGTCGTAATTTTGGATATCAAAATTTGCATCGAATTTTTCTCGAATTGAAATTTCAATAATTTCACTAAAGAAATAATCTCACCATAGACACCAGGATTCAAAATTTGAACGACAGAAACGCGTTTTGGCTACATAAGGCTCATCACTGACTCTCGAAACGAAAAAGTTAAAAAGGCCAATTTATTACGAAGTTGAAGAACATTGAGGTTTCGAAATTCCGTAAATTTTGCAAAATACAGCTAAGGTAGTCTATTCCTAAAAATTTTAAATTCATTTTGTTTTCTTATTTTCGAAAAGTTGACTTTAAAAATCTTAAAATTTAAATTTTTGATAACCATAGAATTTCCTGGCTTTTGTAAAAACAAAACAAAATTTCAATATTTTTTTTAAGTTTAACGTTAATAAGAAACTTTGTTAAATTCGTTATTAATAATAATAATAATAATAATAATAATAATAAATTCTTTATTTAAAGAGGGTAAACTCAGTTAGTTACAATAAACAAATCTTTCCTGAGGCCCTCAAATTAGTCGAAAATTCTTTCAAATAAAGATTTATTTAAAGTAAACGTTTTGATATCTCCAAGTTTAATTTACAACTTTAATTTCAACTCTTTTTTTTTTGTTAGTATTGAAATTTTCGTCATATAAACTAAGTAATTGTCAACATTTTGCTAACAAAGTCAAAATAGTCTTTTAATTCTAAGGTTTCTTTTTTAAATAAAATTTCGAAATCTAAAAAAGATAGGAATTTACTTTGAAAAAAGCCACAGGTCAAAGAAAAACAGCTCTCGATTCAATTGTTTCACACTTTT